ACGGCAGAGAGATTAGTGGAGAGTTCTCGTGCGCATGCCCCGTTGAGTAAATTTACTTCCGGTAGCCGTCCAAGCCCTTCCCGTCCTGGTATCTTAAGGTGCCTAATGATTTCTGATGACTGGGTGACGAGTTAGTCGAAAGTTATATTCTGGCGACGACACGATAAGGAGAGGCTCGTGGATGTCAAGGAAAGCTTATGAACTATTTAGGTATTAGCGGGAGACAGACCATTCTAGGTCACTTTTTTCTTCGATTATTTACTGCGCCTTTCAATAACATGCGGACTCTAAACTTCAAAGCTCAACCAACAAATGCGTTTTTCGCTACCGTCAATCAAATGTTCGGCGGCTCCTCCCAGCTTCGAGCGCACGGTTATCAATTCGTTGAGCACAGTTCAGACAACGAAACAGTGCTCGGCAGTAGTCGAAAGCTGGGAGCCGCCGCCTAACATTTGATTTTACGAACAATTGTTACATGCAAATGCTGTAGCTTATTTATTGTACCCTTTCCTCGGCTTCATTAATATATGAGAAATACGTACGCTCCCGATATTTTTTGGCCACACATGAAGGGCGTTTTCTCTGTATCTGGGAGTAGCACAGGTTCTACTATTAGAACCAAGAGTTGTAATTTGTGCAGATACAGATTTTGTTACAAGGATACATTTATTTCTGCCTCAGACGACTGATTGACGCATCCTCAATAACATTTTTACATTGAATGTCTCGTGTTGGAGTGGTCAGAATTGGGTGTTTGTATGGATAGCATTTATTTGAAGGGACAAGATGTTATATCAACTGAGTGAATAAAAGGGAGACGATCACTGTACTATTTGGTAAGAGTTGCAGCATTTCACAGTTTTTACCAATCTGTAGACAAGTGGCATTTGTTACACTCTTCTTGAACTCCCCTAGCTTCTCATTTGCGAATTGACATTTTAGCATAAATTGCACAGTAGTATCGTTCGAAAGTAGTTTGACGCCAATTTGAGTTAAAAAATCAGTCCAAAAAAAAGGAAAGAAAAAAGAAAAAAAAAAAAACCTTTTTTTTTTATAGGCAAGTGATCTATGATTTGTAGTAGCCCAAAAGGATTCCATGGGTGCTAATTTCTGGTTATGGACTCATCAGGCTAAATCTGGAGAAAATGATAATACTTTAAAATGATAATACGCCTTCAGTATAATGCTAGTAATATGTTTTGGCAAATATATATTTACATCTAGTTACACACAGATACATGGAGATTACAAGCCCCCTTACAACCGTTTTTGCCCTACTTTTCATTTCACAGGACTAATTCACAAAATAGGGATGAAACTTTGTGTCACTATAAACCAGCTTGTGAATAGTCCATATCTGACTCCGAGCATTTTAGCCTCCCTATTCTTCTCAGGATGGTTATCCTTTCAAAAAGTATGGAACACTAGAGATTACTCTGTATTTTGTATTTTATCTTCTGACGGTTTTTTTGTTGTTGTTGTTCTCCTTTTCACAGCTTCTATGCTTCCGTTCAAAGAAAGCGCCAAGGACACCACAGATGTATTTAATTCTCGACACGAGATTTGAGCGACGTGTTCTGCAAAAGCAGCCAATCAGGAACAAAACCAAAACCAACCAATGACTTTAGTTGGCTTACACGTATTTTCTCGCGCTTCGCATTCGTTGCATGCTATGCCTTCGCTTCAAGATTTGATTGGCTCACATTTCCTATGATGAGCCGGTTTGGAAAACGCTCGAATGTAAAGAATACATCCGTGACACTAGCTAGATGGACAAAAGAAATAAAGAAACAGAGTAGTGGTTTCCTTGCTGGAGAGACGACTTCATGGGACACAAGAGCCCTTTACAAGTAGGGCCTGTTCATTTCCCATACGTTGTGTTCCAGGTTTGTTCTGCAAAAATAAAAACAACAAAGAAACGTCAAATTTCCAGCTCTAATACATATTAAATGGTTATCCATTCCAGCACAAACTGACAGACCGTTTGTTTAATGTTAGTAGTGAGAACTTGACGGCCAGTGTATTTGCTTGGCGACAAGTCATTGATCGGTGAAGTAGCTTACAGTGATGCACGTGCCTCTTAAATTTTCGAAGTGAAAGCTTGATGACAAATGTATAGTGAGAAAATCAAACTTACCAAATGTGGACTCGGATGTATCGTGAGGATGTGCGTTCTTGTATTTCTCTACAAGCTCATGCTTCAATAACCCGTTAAGATCCGCGTTTTCCTACACGATGGTATAGTAAAAGTGAAAGTCGTAAAACCAAAAAAAGTAAGTTAGTATCACACTAAGATACCCTGCATTATCGGTCTTCTGTTCCATAAATAATTGGCAACTGTCTAAATAAAATTATGCATTGAATTCCTTTTATATTCTCCAACTTAAGATAATTTTCCTTTCTTGCTATACCCTGATTTGACTGAAAAACGCCATAATATTTCAGGAAGTTCATCGACACGCTCTTGAATTTCAACGACGACTAACATTTTTTCAACAATATAGGAAGGGTGGGAAATAACGATCTTATTTTGGCTTCTGTTCTAATTAGCCATTATGGTTGTTGTTGTCGAATGCCATATGAGAACTGTAGATACGGAAATTCGTTAAAGACGCTTTTTCCTTCAATCCACGTAGTTCAAACATTTATTTTAGTTGTTTCACATACCTTGTTCGGTTCGTTAGCAGTCCCTTTCATATACTTGGCATTTCCTGACGCGTGAGGAGGTTTTAACGCCTTCTGTGCCTGATTTAACGCTTGCAAGTCAATTCCAACCAAAGGCTGGCGGACCACAGGTGCTGGAGGAACTTGGTGAGGTGGCATTGCATGCTGGGAAGGTACAGTGCCAAAGGGTCTGGGTATAGCAGATGAGATGCTGACCTTGTTACCACTAAGAAGCTGTTTATAAAAACTCTGACGAAGAATGAAAAGCATGGAGGTCACAGTGAATAATGACTTCCGCGGTACGATGTCAATACCAGTGAGTTTGGGGGAACTGAAATGTTTGGATGAATCTGAACCATGTAGCGAAGATTGACGTAGGGACTTCAAGGCTGTGGTCTAAAAAAATTACGAGGAGCCGAAAGGTTCCTAAGCATGAAATCCTGGGTGCCCAACACGTAAGAGTGAGTTTTTCCAGTCGCCCAAAGGCGAAAGTTAGTCGCCTGCGGCACCCGGGCGCTTCTGGTCTGAAGTTGTCCTAGACTTACTAGAAAGTCAAAGATTGTTGCTGGCTATGTGGATGACAGGATACTAGACGTGTACATTCTCGTCTGTCTAAATTCGCGTAATTCACACAATTCTTACCTTACTCAGAGCACGCACGGAACGCGGCGAGTTAACATCAGCCTTAGCAAACTCCATCAAGACGTGGAACATTTTATCCTCATCCTCCAGGGGATCTTAGAACGAGGAAAACATGTAAATGAAAAGCTATGCAACAAGCTTTGCAAGGAAAGTGGCCTTGTTTATATGTACGTGCATGCAGAAAAGTGCATCCACGACCAATACACGCAAACTGAGTCATCGAACCGGCGTACTTTCTGACCAAAGAAAGACACGAGGTAGGACGAGTTCCGAAACTTGTATGTAATTTCACTGACTGACCTAACGTACGATAACTAGTACTTGTATTAAATTTAACCAGCGACTGCGGAGGTGAAAGCGAGGGGAGAAAGAACAAAAAAGACCGCTTACCGTGTGAGTGCGGATCAATGTAAGGATGAGCCAACAGATGTGGAATACTGTAACGTTCTTTTGGGGACCGGCGAAGACATCCCTGAAAAAGAGAATTTTAAAGTACATCAGTCTGTATCTGTCACAACATGATGACACGAATGCGTTTACAAAAGGAAATTGATGGGAAATGTCAAATTTGATAACATTTCGAAGACCAGTAAAAGAGAGTACAGTAAGGGTTATATCAACAATGCGAGCAGGCGCACGCCGCTTACTGCCCGAGATGGTAGGGCGTGAAAGTGAAAGAGTGCTGTAGGTGGATTGCATCAAATTCTGAGGGACTGAAATGTAAACGGCTTGGAGGCCTTAATCAATGGTAGTAAAAACGCGAAAAAAGCTGAAAAGAAATCCTCTTTTTATGACCACCAACATGGCGACTACGATGTCACATGGAAACAAACAATCGGCGCGGACCATTCTCAGTGAAAGGTCAAGTGCACAATTATACTTGTTTAGCTACTTCCTGATTAGTTCATGCCAAGTCGACTTATCAAAAAGTAGCCATATTTTAACCTTACTTCTCTGCAAAAGAAGATGCTCTCCGCTATTTCTCTAGTCCCCTCTCTTTTCAGTCCCTTCTCGTTCTTTCAATTTGAATCTGAACGTTGATAGTCACCCAAATCAAATTCATTTTCAGAAGGAAAGTTTGAGGCAAAAAGCCATTCGACGTTGACCTATCAGTGTCAAATACACATATCCACGTAACGAAACTAACCTTCATGACATCAAGCAGGCGCTTGTCTTTGATATCTGGAAACTCAATCACGTGTGAAGGATCCATAATACATTGCAACTTGACAACGTGATTGGTGATGTGTTGGAAAGGCGTCTTGCCATAAACCATCATATACAGGATACAGCCTAGGGACCACACATCGCTGGCTCGCCCGATCTTGAGGGGGAAACAGAAAGAGTTAACACAAGTCAATAAGGCCAAGGTTATGGACAAGGGTGTGATCTACGAGTGGGGAACGATAATTGTATTCAGGGAGTGCGGTGGGTTTGACCAATTACCCCCAAAAATTCCTGTACAGCAAAAAGAAAGAAAGAAAAAAAAAACTGATGAAAAAAGAAAAAAAAATCGTGCAAGGGGAGCCATGAGAAAAAATAATCGAGCAAGTGCTTTCTACTTATCCCGTGAACAGGCTCCGGCTGCGAGGACCAAAAAGGAACTGGCTGAGAGTGAAGTGGCCGAGAGGAGAACGGTTTTTTTTCCGCTTTCTCTTCACCCCATCCTCGACTAGAGAGCCTGTTCACAGGCTACTTTCTACTATATTCAGGTCCTGTTTTTTGATGTTAAGCTATTGTCCACCGAAAAAAATCATACACGACCAAAAGGTGAGAAAAACATTTAATATTCCAGAAAATTGCCCAACTCCGCCCCCCCTCCAAAAAAATAATGGTCCATCCCTTATAGAAGCTGAACTG